TATATATATATATATATATATATATATATATATATATATATTTATTTCAATTAAAATTTTAATGGATAAATTGTTGATCTACTAGTAGTTTTATAAGAGTCCAAATTATAAATAGGAAAAAGAGTCTGATATATCCTTAACTTTGTCATATAGAGCTGATATAACCCTTATTATGAAAGTAACTCATATATATTCCTACTTGTAAACAAATGGCTCACATGTACCATTTTCCTCTAACGAAAATAAAAAGATAATTTTAATCTAAATTTTTGTTATTTTTTTCTAAAAAATATAATCTTATATGAGTAAATTTAATCCTCGTTAAACATCTTTCTTTTGACTTTGTAGATGACCAAAATTTTTCTTCGACTACGAAATTAAATTATAATACACACAAAAAAAATAGTTTATTTTTTTCTTTAAACTAAGGAATGAAAGAAAAAAAAAAGAATAAGAAACTCAAATAATTATAATAAAAGAAGTCAAAAAATAATTTATGTATGAAAAAAAATTAAAATATACCTTGAACTTTGATAGAAGAATCATATATACCCCTAAATAATTTATTTTTTTAAATTAGAACTGATAAATATTAATTTAAAACTAATTTTTTAACTTCCGTTAAATGAAGAGTATATGTAAGCCATTTTGTAAAGGCATGTGAGCCGTTTGTGTAATAATAAGAACATATGTGAACCACTTTTATAACGAAGAGTATATTATACGAGGACAGAGGAAGTTTCCACTTCTCGGAAAACAAATATATCACATCTTAATTAACTAAGAATGACAATGGGACTATATATTATGAATGCACGACAAGTTACATTATTTGCGGGGTAGGGTAAGTTTGAACGCGTTCAAATATATATTTTTTTTAAATCGAACAGAGTAGATCAAATCTCGTATAGTTTAAAATTTTAAAATGAAAATTAATAAAATTTACGTTTAATGAAAATAGATTTCTTTAATAACATATAGATCGAATAGTTTGAAAAAATTATATGCAAAATGACACAAAATTAATTTTTTTTTAATTATTCAAAGCGAATTTAATTTGTCATCCATAGTTTTAATCATTGATGTATATCCACACTATATTTTTTCCAAAAACTTTTGTGTTTTGTTTCTTAGAAGAAAATAAAATAAAATAAGAAATTAGACAACTCATTTTTTTTTTGACACTTGAATATATAAATATTATTAGTCATCACCAATAATCTTTGCTCTTGTATTTCAGTCACCATTTCTCAACCCCACCCCCCACCCCCATTCCTCTTGTGTGTTGAAGAATGGACTCAAGATGTGCAATTCTGTGTGAAGTTTTACTAGCAATCTTTCTTCCTCCTCTTGGTGTTTGCCTTCGCCATGGTTGCTGCACTGTAAGATCCCCTTTTTCCTTTTATTATCAAAAAAACTAAAAAATTGAAAAAAGATTCAATTTTTTTTGCATATTTTTGAAAACTTTGATTTTGGTTATTGTTTTTGTGGGATGAACTGAAAAGGGTGTTTGAGGATTGGGTTAATTGTGTAAAGTTGATTTAGTGATGTGAGTGATAAAAAGATTCAATTTTATTTTTTTTTTGTATATTTTTGAAAACTTTGATTTGGGTTATTTTTTTTGTGGGATGAACTAAAAAGGGTGTTTGAGGATTTGGTTTATTGTGTAAAGTTGATTTAGTGATGTGAGTGATAAAAAGATTCAATTTTTTTTGTATATTTTTGAAAATTTTGATTTGGGTGATTGTTTTTGTGGGATGAACTAAAAAGGGTGATTGAGGATTGGATCAATTGTTTAAGAGGATTTAGTGATACAAACATCAACAAAAATATCAAAGTGTTAGTCCTATAAAGTGGGATCTAAAACGAAGATAGAGTGGACACAAATCTTGTTGTTAACTATATTTTTGATAGACCCTATGCTCTATTTAGTGATGTGGATAAAAAGGATTCAATTTTACAATAATATCTAGTGTTAGTCCTATAAAGTGGGATCTGGCAAAGATAGATTGAGCACGAACCTTATCCTTGTCTAAAAGAAGGTAGATAAACTATTTTCGATAGAACTTGTCTATATTTAGTGATGTGGATGAAAAAAGATCCAATTTTTTTTTGTAAATCTTTTTAAAACTTTGATCTAGGTGATTGTTTTGGAGGATGAACTAAAAAAGGTGTTTGTGAATTGGGTCAATTGTCTAAGGGGATTTAGTGATACAACAACAGTGGGATCTGAGAAGGGTAGAGTTACGCAAACCTATCATAGAGTAGACCGTCTATCAAAAGGGTAGAGTCTATGCAAACCTGCCTTAGAGGTAGAGACGCTATTTTTTGATAGACTGTCTATTCTATTTAGTGATGTGGATAAAAAAGATTCAATTTTTTCTTTTTGTAATTTTTGTTCTACTTTGATTTGGATGAACTTAAAAGGGTGTTTGAGAATTGGGTCAATTGTTTTAGGAGATTTAGTGATAAGGGTGTTTCATTTATCTTTTTTTGGTAATGTTTTGCAGGTGGAGTTCTTGATTTGCTTGATTTTGACCATATTGGGCTATGTTCCTGGAATTATCTATGCTCTTTATGCAATCCTCTGTATTCAAAGTGAACCACACTACCATCATTACCATTCTCTTGCTTGATAGTTTAATTCCTTTTTCATTGTTCACTACACCACTTGAGATTGTGTGGTTGTTGTCCTTGTTTGTAATTTAGACTTGTACCATTGGATGAATTGTACTCTTGTGATACTTGATCTTAAATCAACTTTGCTGTTTGAGTTTAAAGATTGAACCTTTATAGCCTCTTGTTTTGATATGTGGTAATTAATTTCTGTTGAGAATGTCCCATATCGGCCCGGGATATGATCCCGAGACTTTTTATTATGGCTTGAGAAATCTTCTTTCCGTGAAGCTAGCTTTTGGGGTATGAGTTACAGTGTTATGCCCTAAACAAAATTTGAGATGGTACCATAGTCGGAACCATTGGGGTGATGAGAATGTCCCATGTCGGATAGGGACAAGATTTCAGTTCTCGTTATATGGCTTGCCAATCCTCCTTCCTTTGAACTAAATTTTGATGTTAGGAGTTAGAGTTAAGATCAACACCTACTTTGAATGCCTCTTCAATCTTTGAAGGCATCCTAACATGAGTAGTAGTTTAATTGGTAGGCACTATCTGAACTTTCACCTCGTTAGTGAGAGCTTGATTTTCCACTTTATAATTTCCACCCTATTTTTACTTTTTCGAGTCCCAAACATGAGTTAGGACGATTGAGGGGTGGGTTCGTTTTGGTTACCTTGATCATTCTCTTGAAACACGAAGCATTCTGCATGCCTCTTGTTCCACATTACAGACTAAAGGAGTGCTAGTGTTACCGGTTAATGATCGAGGTACATGTCTTACATGTGTTAGAACGTTCAAGGGTGTAGCCTAGGGTCTCATGTTCAAATTATAGTTGAGACAAAAATATTATGTGATTTCTTTTTATCTGACATAGCTCTGATGGAATACACACGTATTTGAAACGTTTCTAGAATCGACCTCGACAACGATTGCATAAACCTCCTTTAGACATAGGGGTGAGTACTTCACGAGCTCATAAGTTGCATGATCTAGATTAGAAAGAAAGGTGTAAATTTCTTAAATGTTAGTTTTAGCCCATTATGTATTAGTATGGGGCCTTCATACAGACAAACAAAAGCTCCTTTGATATGATTTGTACACGTCTTAAAGACTTTTTCAAAATTTCAAATTTTAAATTTATTATTTTAATATCATCACGATTTTTTTTAATTAATCATAATTAAATTACTATATTATCAAATATAATATGAATGACTTGAGCTATCTCCCAATAGTGCTACACATTTTAATGTCTTTGCTAGCATCATATTTATATGGCAATTTTTATAGTGGTTTAAATCAATTATCTATTCTTTTTTAACACGAGTAGTTTCAGAATAAATTACAATCTTACTGAGCCAGGTGTGAAATTAGAGTATCAATTCGTTCTTTTTTTGTCAAAAATAATATATACTACATGTATGAGATTAAAAGTATATCTTTACGTATCTCTATAACAAGAACATGTAAGGTAAAAGTATAATTTTTACGTATCTCTTTTTAACTTCTTGTTATGTTTATTTATATTTAAAATCTTGAAAGTTTTTTAATAATTCATAAAAATCATAATAGTATGTAAATCAATCAATAATTAGAAAACTAACTGCATGTTAATATTTATTCTTTTGTAGTTAAACAACTTCTGACTTTTAAGATGTTGAGATTAGTTGAATAAATCCTCCACATCCATCCAAATCAAAAACTATTTTTTTTTAAAAAAATCAAATCAATTTAATACAAAGACATCTGGTAGGTCTTGTGTGAACAATTTTAGATTCGAATCGTAAGTATAAAAAAAATTAAAACTTTAATACATATTTCGAATAACTGATAGAAAAAAAATAAATTTGAATCTTATAATCATTAACATACCATCAATTAATTATGACATCAATAGTCATCATTATTAGTCACTATATACTATAATTATCACAAACCATTAATATTGTTAAACATCACATTTAATCATCAACAAGATTATTATTTATTTATTACCATTACTAATACATTGGAGTATTATCCTACTATGAACCTTAAGTTTATACTATAGATGTTTCATTATGCTCAAAATTTTATACGATAGACGTTTGATTAAGCTCAAAATTTTAAATTAAGATGAAATTTTTATAACTTACAATCTAAAATAATACATTTATTTAACTACTAATCACCTAATTAACACTAAACTCAAAAATAAAATAATTATTAATTAAAAGACTTAATTTAAATAAACAAATAGTGTGATACAAATCTTGTTGGGAGCGCAATCTCGAAACGATCCTCCAAAACGTAATGCAAATTTAATCGGAGCTCAAACAGAGGGGAGCGAAAAATTAAAAAAATAATAATGAAGAAGTACTATCCTATGGTATTTTTATTTTTGCATATAAATGTGAGTAATCAAAGGGCTGCATTACACTAAAAAGTCAAATCATTTCCTCAGCCCCTTTTGAAATCAAGAATGGAGATAACATGTGCACTTGTCTGTGAGATCTTACTAGCAATCTTGCTTCCTCCTCTTGGTGTTTGCCTTCGCAATGGTTGCTGCACTGTAAGATCCCCTTTTACCTAAATTTGTTTTGTATATATAAAAAAGATCTCATTTTTAATTATTACTTGTAGTTTCTTTGATTTGGGTGATTATTTTTGTGGATGAGCAGAAAAGGGTGTTTGAGTATAGGGTTAATTGTTTTAGGGGATTTAGTGATGTGGGGTATTTTTACTTGGTCTTGAAATTGCAAAAAGATTCAATTTTTATGATTTTTTTGGTTGAAATTTTGAATTGGGTGATTGTTTTTGAGGATGAACTAAAAAGGGTGTTTGAGAATAAGGTTGATTGTTTTAGGGGATTTTAGTGATGTGAAAAGTTTTTCCTTCTTGAAATTGCACAAAAGATTCAATTTTTATTGTTAAAACTTTGATTGGTTTTTGAGATGAACTGAAAAAGGGTGTTTAGGACGTGGATCACTTCTTTTATGGGATCTAGTGATGATTTCTAGCTAAAGTTTTGAAAAAAGATTCAATTTTTTTGTATAAACTTTGATTTGGGTGATTGTTAGGGTGTTTGAGAATTGAGTCAATTGTTTTAGGGGATTTAGTGATTTCTTTTCTGAATCTTTTTCCAGGTGGAGTTCTTGATTTGCTTGGTATTGACCATATTGGGCTATGTTCCTGGAATTATCTATGCTCTCTATGCAATCCTCTTTGTTGAACGTGAACCAAGAAGGGATTATTATGACACTCTTGCTTGATCTTTGTTGAATATATCATTTCAGATTGTGTGCTTGTTGTTTTGTTTTGCTTGTAAGTTATACCTACGTTGCTCGGACTCTACAAAAATGTTGCAGTCCCCGTGTCGTATCTTCCAAAAATGCGTTGTTTTTGAAGGATCTGACACGCACGCTGGCATTTTTGAAGGGTCTTTTTGACTCCAACTATGGATGTATTGTACCTTATGTCGCTCGTTCTGAATCAACTCTTGCAGTGTAAGTTTATGGATTGGTAATTTATTGCCTTTTGTTCTAAGGTGTTAAATTTCTCGTCGTTTTGATTGGTACTTGAGCTTAATGTCCATCTGAAACAACGTATCTTCCTTCACAAGTAGGAATAAGGTTGCATACACACCACTCTCCCCAATAGCTTGAACCCTTACTTATTACTAGTTGGTCTATTAATCTTTAGAGATATGCTAGTATTGGCATGTCCTTAAAGATGGCGAAAGAATTTGATGAATCAAAATATAAAGAACACATTGATGGAAGAACTTGGTATGCAAGATCATTTCTGCTAAACTTAGTTGTGATTTTAGTGTTCTTCAAACATGTTATCTCGAGGAAAATGAAATTATCCTCTTTATTAGGCTACGAGTTTCTTTTATGCATCTTACTTGAGTTGAGGGTATTTTGGAAACAATTTCTCTACCTCTACCAGATTGGGGTAAGTGATGTGTACAATCTATCCTCTCTAGATGGATACGTGGGTTTATACTGGATGTATTGTTGTTGTAGTTTCTCTTATGCTTAAATAGGTTTTGGCGACCTTGTATATGTAGATATCAATGATTCATTATCTCGATGGATTATTTCTTCGAATAGAAGAATTATCTTTGTTTCTAGGGAAAATGCACTAGTACCCCTGAACCTATCCCCGAAATTCCATAGACACATTTATACTATACTAAGGTCATATTACCACTCTGAACTTATTTTATAAGTAATTTTCTATCTCTTTTTTGGCTTACATGGCACTAGCTTGAAACTCAATCAACATTGGATCCACAAGATAGTACCACGTAGGTCGAAAAGGGGTAGAAAATTATTAATAAAATATGTTTAGGGGGTAATATTATCTTTGTATAGTATAAGTGTGTTTTTGAGATTTCGGGCATAGGTTGAGGAATACTTGTGCATTATCCCTCGTTTCTGTAAGGAAAAAGAATTTGAAGAAATTTTAGGTCTCATCGAATCACATGTATAGATATTGATAGCTCATTCTCAATCACATGTTGATGTGACATGAACTCAGTTTCTCCATGTGTTTCCCAGACCCAGTGAGATATTACTTTTTGGACAAGGTTAGCTTGTGTGTTGGCAAGCTAGTTGTGGAAGTGATTTTAGATTAATAATGTGTATGTGTTCGATACAAAATTTTAACTATAAACTTATTGAGTTTTATTGATTCGTAATTGATACTCTAGCTCTGTCCTACTTAAACTGGGGAGGAGGGGGAGGGGGCTGGTTGGAATATTATCACTTCATTTTTTCCTGCATCTTTTCTGTCCTGGATATTCTTTTGTGAGGTGTAATTCGCTTGTCCGATGTAGTCTCAACACACGTAGGAAAAATTCAAATTAATCGAGGCTTCAATATAAGTATCGAATGATGGGTGGGAAGTGAAAAAAATGAAGTCTCAGCCTTGGAAATATTGTTATGAATGAGTCATTTGTTAACTAGTTTATGGTTGCCTACATCTAAATTTTATTGGCAAACATCATTGTCTTCTCAATTCTAATTTATGTGATGATAGCTACATTAAAATCAACATTCAAAACCCTCCATTTAAAGAAAGGGAAAAAAGACAAATATATCTCCGAACTATCGTAAATGTACGTAGATACCTTCATCATATTTTAGGGACATTGGTGCTTCTGCTGTCCAAAAACTAGAGCATATACAATCTTCGCACAACACAACCATTCCACAAAAAAAGTTGATCTCGACCAGTTACTAGACACTCCACGCATGCACAAACAGTCAAACTTGATCTCGACCAGTTACTAGACACTCCATAAGAGTCTACGCATCTCGACACCTTAATTTAGTCTCAACTAGCCACCAAATGCTCCAACTCATCGCCATTGTGTCTCATGGACACTTGATACAAACTTGACATGTAATTATTGGAGGTCTCGAGATGTACAGACTAAAAGTTGGAGTTTTTACTTATGCGCTAAAACCAAGTTTGAATGGTGAGGCTAGCCTATATAAAAGCTTTTTCATTTCCCACCATTTGAAAGAGTAGAAGTTCAATCATGCCATTGACAACAAAATCCTATTCACAACTCAACAATATATCCACACAAATCCTCAATTTCTTGAACAAAACCTCAATTTCACCTTCTCAAATCTCCCAAATCCAAGCTCAAATCATCCACAACAATCTCCATTTCAACACCACCATAGCTCACAACTTCATCTCTGTTTCCAAATCTTTAGGTCTCTTTAACTCTGCTTACACCCTTTACACTAAACTCATCAAGAAACCCCACATCTTCATCTGCAACACACTGATTCAAGAATGTTCACATTCCGAAATCCCAGTACTGAAACAGAATTCGATTTCTATGTATGTTCATATGCATAAAGAAAGTATTTTTCCGAATAATTACACGTACCCTTTTGTTCTTAAGTCTTTATCTGATCTTAAGGAGCTAAAATTAGGCAAATCTGTACATACCCATGTTGTGAAATGGGGTTATGTTTGTGATATTTATGTGCAGAATTCATTGTTGAATTTGTATGCTTCTTGTGGTGAAATTGAGTTTTGTCAGCAAGTGTTCGATGAAATGCCTGAGAGAGATGTTGTTTCGTGGACGGTTTTGATTATGGGGTATAGAGATTGTGGAAAGTTTGGTGATGCACTTGTTGTGTTTGAGAAAATGAAGGATTCGGGTGTGGCACCTAATCGGGTGACGATGGTGAATGCATTGTCTGCTTGTGCTAATTGTGGTGCTTTAGATATGGGGATGTTGATACATGATGAAATAAGGAGGAGTGGATGGGCCATGGATGTGATTTTGGGTACTTCTTTGATCGATATGTATGGGAAGTGTGGGAAAATCGAACACGGTTTTTGGGTATTTCAAGAGATGAAACATAGGAATGTGTATACTTGGAATGCTGTGATCAGAGGGTTGGCGTTGGCTAAAAGCGGGGAGGAGGCAGTGCGATGGTTCTTCATTATGGAGCGCGAAAATGTCAAACCTGATGAAATTACTCTAGTAGCCGTGCTTTGTGCTTGTGCGCATACAGGAATGGTTGAACAGGGAAGAGAAATATTTTCCTGGTTGATGAATGAGAAGTATGGATTTCCACCTGGTGTGAAACACTACGCGTGTATGGTTGATCTATTAGCGCGTTCAGGACATTTAGAAGACGCGTTAAGGATGATCACAGACATGCCAATGGAACCAACGAAGAGCGTTTGGGGAGGATTGCTTGCTGGCTGCAGGTTACATGGAAATCAAGAACTGAGTGAGTTTGCTGCATGGAAGCTTATAGGATTGGCACCAAGAAACTCGGCCTATTACGTTGTGTTGGCTAACTTATATGGTGCAATGGGAAGGTGGAATGACGCGGAGAAAATTCGAGCTTTGATGAAAGAGAGGGGATTATCAAAGGACTTGGGTAGTAGTTCAGTTGAACTTGAGGATCAAAAGGATCTACAAGAGTTGTTAAGGTGAGAGTCAAGATTCTTGTCATTTGCAAAAGAAGGAAGTTAATGTGTTTGATTGAACTTTTGTTTGATAACTCCTACAATGATCTTGTGGTAGATTAAGCATCAATGAAACATGAAAGAGAAATTGTCACCTTAATGTCCTACTTCGTCCGTTTCAATTCATTTATCTTGTTTTAACTCGATATAAAATTAAAAAACGTAACTTATATTCTTAAACTAAAGATATATGAAAAAATAAGTCATCGAGCGAGCTAAAGAAAGTACTTTTCCAAACAAGCATTCCCTTGTGAATATTCACCTATCAAAAATACCTATTAATATATCAAATAATAAAGAATATTATTATATCGCGAACAACTTACCCAATTTATTATAAAAAATGATACATTATAAAGCTTTTGAGATTCTCAATAATTTTCCTGTGTTAGTTTTTCCCCCCAAAAATGACTGAGGAAGAAGAGAAAACTAAGTCAGTGCAGATCCATAACTGGGCGGAGTTAACTCAGTTATGCCTAGTGAATATACTCTCTCGTCTCTCCATTGAAGATCGATGGCGAGGTGCCATGTTTGTCTGCAAATCCTGGTTACAAGCTTGTAAGGATCCTAATTTAAACTCGGTAATCGATCTCGAAGCTCAGTTCATCGAATCGGTCACTGAATCGTCGCCGTTGTCGTCGACTCGTTACTGGAATCGCGAGTTCGAGAGCAAAATCGATTCTATGGTTCAATCTGTTGTAATTTGGAGTGATGGATCTCTGAATTTTGTTAGGGTTAGGCATTGCTCTGATCGATCCATAGCTTTGATCGCTGAAAGGTAAATCAAAAACTTCCCAATTTTATAAGAAGAAAAGAGATTTTTAATCTATGTGTTCCAATTTTATGTGACGTAGTTTGATTGAGCATGAAACTGAAATATTGTCGAGTAGCCATGAGTTAACCCAGTCGTGACTTAACTATAGATATTTGTATAGCTATATATGGACCTTATTAAGTCTAAATGAATCACTAGATGATAGTGTAGGAGGTAGCAGTTACTCGTGGAATTAGTTGATGTTTGCAAGGTAAAAGAAAAGGACACTTTTTTAAATAGAAAGTTGTCATTTCTTTGGGGGGGACGGACTTAACGTTTGTCGTGTAAAATGGGATAGAAGGGGTAATTCATTTGCATAATACATAATCGTATCTTTTAACTGATATCTATGTCATCCAATTTGTGCGTGCAATAAAACACATTATGACACTTAAAAACTTATATAAGGTGGATGAAGTAGACACATGTGTCATATGTGTATTATGCCACGTAGGACATATGTGTCTACTTGTTTAACTTTATACAAGTTTAAGTGTCCAAAGTACACAAAGTTGGAGGACATAAAGGCCAAGTTAGAAGGACACGTTCATGTATATTTGTGTTTTTCCAAATTGAGATGTTGTGCAAGAAAGAGATCTTGAGAAAAAATGGGATTTTTTTTTTATAGTTGAGGTGAAACTGGGTAACAAAGAACATCTTGGAAAGAGAAAGAATGCATTTTGACTGAGAATTTGTGTATTTTTTGAAATTGTTATGGGTGAAAATGAAATCAGGAGAAGAATGACATCTATGGCTGAAAATTTGATTGTAAATTTTTCTGAATTGAGGTATAAGGAGTTAAAGAAAAATCTTGAAAAGGTTAGCTGCAAGTGAAAATGTTGTTTAAGAGTCTTATGGCTGTGCTATGTATTAGCAGTACTAAAAATCCTGTCGGATTTACTTGCTTCCGTTGGAGTAGAGTAATCTACATTTCTTGTTTAAGCTGTTGGATTAGATAGGAATATGGAGGTCGTTCGCGTGATATTTGATGGCTTTAGTTTTACATCTGCATTGTCATGTTTTTCTTTTTTTATGTTTGAGAGCAGAAACTGCCCTCTAAATAGACCTTTGCATATTCATTTTGCCGTTTGTTCTGTTCTTCTCAGCAATGAGATGAAGTTGTCATTACTATTTAGTTGGTTTTAGATTGTTCTTGGGTTCATCAGTTCAACGTCCAATGCGTGTTTGGATTCATGAAACTACCAAAAAGTGTTTAAAAAATCAGTCTTGAAATACTGATTTAGGAAATGCTAGGTGATTTCTTTTCATTTGTTTGAGCCTCAAATGGAATAGTTACTCGGTACCTGTGCAGGAGGGGTATAACAGGTACCCGGTCCACTAGTCGATGTGGGTAAATATTGGACCAACCACTAACCTTAAGATTCTTTTCTAAGAAATAAGGAGGGATGGGCTTAAACGATTGTATTGGTTGCCATAGCGAACAATGAATCGATGACTAGCAGGTGCTGTCTGTTGTATTGGTGACCATAATGAACAATGACTAGAAATAGAACGTTGAGACTGAAGACAGTGGGCATTGCTATCAGTTCTTCTCTTCTTTTGGGATTCACAGTTTTTATGTCTTTTCCGGCTGTTGTGTGATCATCAAACTATATCTTTATGTGTTTAATCAGATTAGAAGCAATGGGGATGATCAGTGATCTGACATGCTCAGCAACAATACCTATCTTTTTACATATCAAACAGAAAAAAACTCGCCAATCTTTTAGAAATGACAAGAGTTTTTTCGTGTTTCTGATAACTCTGCTGTTTCCAGAATATGATCTTTTCCTAATTTTTGGTGAAGTTGTCGCGATACATGTGTTTATGAATGGTAAATATTTGCTCTGAATTTATTCTTACAGGTCGCCTAATCTTCAAGTTCTCTCAATTCAGAGGTGCCCACATGTAACCGATGAAACAATATCTAAGATAGCTTCTGGTTGCCCGTTGCTTAGGAAACTTGATATCAGCTTCTGCCATCAAATATCTCACAAGTCTATAGCTCTTATAGGACAGCATTGTCGTAATTTGCAAATTCTAAGGCGAAATCTCATGACTCAGGTTAATCCGTCCCAACAAGAACCCTTTGTCCCGAGGGAGTACGTAGATACCTGTCCTCAAGATGGCGATTCAGAAGCTGCTGCAATAGGGAAATTCATGGCACAACTCGTGCAACTTGAACTACAATTCTCCAAATTGACTAATAAAGGTCTAGCTTTGATATCTGAAGGATGTATAAACCTCGAGCATTTGGATCTCTTTGGGTGTACTAATGTTACTAGCCGGGATATTGCTAATGCCTCGTCGAATCTGAAGCAGTTGAAAACCTTGAAGAAGCCTACTCAACTCTGCTTAGAATCTCAAACAGAGAGGTACGGGCATTGGCAACTGTATGATGATCGTTTCCAGACGGACTCTTTCCGAATTTAATCAGGTGAAAAATCAGCGGTATGTTGTTATTCAACTGCTTGTATATCATGCTTTCTAGAATCCTCTCTAGTTTAACACTCTTTGATTACTTAGTCGTGTTCATATATTTCAATATCCTTGAAAAAATAGGATGAATCGAAATATAGTTGCTATAAATAATAGCAATTGGACTAGAGAATGTGATTGTATTATAAGGTCTTTGATTGAACTCGAATTGACGTAGAATGAAACCTATTAGACCAAAAGCTCTACGAGAGCAAGAAAAGCCTACAGACCCTCCAATTGACACCAACGAGTAAAATCTCTTTGTGCTTTAGAACCTCATTGTAACGACAACGAATGTGTTAAAACTATAGGGGTCGTTTGGTGTGAAGGATAGTATCAAATAATCATATAGGATTAAATTATAGTCACACTTAGTTTGTTGTTTGGTTGGCAAGTCAAGAATAGCTTATCCCGAAATTAATAATTGATACCGAAATAAGTTATCTCTCCTCTTGGGCGGTATAGTAATCTCGGGATAAAATAGGTATCGATAATCATGTATATTTACATTTTTTTAATAAATATGGTCATGAAATTTTTATTTTTAACAATGAATAATTTAAACTTGTAAATGAATTTTTCTTTAAAAAAAAAAACACTCCATCAGAAATGATCTCAACATAACTTATCCAATCATAACGTGTATTAAATCAAACTGATCAATCCATAAGTATATCAACCTTTTCCCAATCCGAATATGGTTTATTTAAAGGTTTACGTTACTTCTATCCTCCGTAGATGTGACTTTGTGAAATTATACTGTGGCCAGGCTGTTTCTATGCTAAACAAAATGAAGGCCTTCCCTAGCCTAAATCTGAATCATAGATAGGGCTTTGGGGTAACCAAGTCCAGCTGTTAATATTTAAGTTGAACTAGCACAACAATAATTGAGACCTTGCAATAAATATCCATTCTACATTCTTGTACAAAAAATTATAAAGCAAGACATAAGTTAAATGATGATATCAAAAGTAGATGTGTGTGCTTTCAGTATTTCAGAAGATGGGGGCGTAAAGCGAGGCGATGCGTTTTATATAGTATGGATGAGGCGTAAGTTTCGAGATGCGGGGTGTAAGTCTCATGGATCTACGCGGAGTGTAAGTTTCATGGATATTCAATTTTATGATTTTATTACTAACAAAACAAGCAAAAGTAAACCTTTCAATGATTTTACAAATAAATTTTATAAATAACCTGTAATATATAGAATATGTATTATGATTTTTATTTGAGATAAGTATTATTATCACTAATGAAGAAAAAAAAGTATTATAATTACCATTCGAGATATCATTACACCAATAATTAAGATATGATTTAAAGCAAAAAGGTTAAAAAAATAAATTTAAAATGCTCGGGTCTATGTTTTTACGTTCAGGAGTTACGTTTTTATGTTCAAGGCTTACGCCTCAAATTTTTGAACTTACACCTTATGGATCTTCATCTTTACTTTACGCCCCAGAAAGTTTTTGGTACACCCCGTCCCGAGACTTATTCTGGTACTTACCCAAAAACGTTTTTGAAAACGCTGATGTGCGTACTTTACCCATTTATATCCCAGGGTTAAGTCTATATTTCTCCAAATAACTTAATTTAATAATATTCATATAATATGATACACCTAATATTTAATTACCTATTTTAATATTCCAAGATTTAATTTATAATATGATAATTAAAACAATTTATGATTAAAAAACTCACTATTGTGAAACCAATTACTTGCTGCAAAAACAATTTGCAACACTACATGTACATCCATCCATACTAACAGGATCATTAGTACACCTCAATAAAGAGATTTAAAATTTAGAAAAACCTTTAATATGAAACAAACACTTTAATAAAGAGATTTAAAATTTTAAGATACCTTCGATATAAAGCAGACACATCAATAAATAATTACAATACTTTGTTATCAAGACATATTTCTAACCACATGTTATGATGAGGATATTGAATGGACAAGGCAACACACCTCCAAGTAATCCCAAACTCAATTAATGTGAATAGACAAAATTATGAAACCTCAATTGGAATTATTAATCAATGAAAACTAATTACTACTCAATAAAGCCAAAGTGGGGAAACACATTCATTTCTATAAAAAGAAAAAGAAAATTAGAAATCATCATGCCTGATTTTTATTACTCATACCAAACGATCCCTTAATATTTTTATAAAAAGAGAGTTTGAAGTGAAGGTAATAGTCCTGATTTTTATTACTCATACGAAACGATTTTTTAATACTACTATAGAGAGAGTTTGAAGTGAAAGGTAATATTAAATTTTTACTATTATTGATTCCATTTTCACTATCACAATTTATGTTAAACATGTGGTTGACATGAAAGTAAAAGATTGAAAAGGACTTTGGGCATGTAAAATCAAATATATGTAAAATAGTGTTAAATGAGGAGTAAAGATGATTCCAACAACAAAAATTGATGAGTTTTTTTCTCTAACCACAAATTTTATGTTAGAATTTCATAGTAATTGTGATTTTTTTTTTTAATTTCACAAATGATATTTGGTTTTTATATTGGAATCCAACTAAATTCAGGTCTAGTTTGAGAAGTCTCCTGTTAGAGGGTAAAACACTTCATAACAAAGGTGGCTGACTTCGTGCATAGAAAGACTCAAACTCGAGACTCAATATTAAAGTTCTTAGTTTCTCAATTAAGAAGTACTACATTTATTTTTATTGATAAATACTAATAATAGCAACAAACACACCCAATAATCAATATTATTCCATTTTATATACCATAACAATAATCAATAACTGCATAGGTAAAATCTCGAAAGGATAAAATGTACATAGACAGCCTTATTTGTACTTCATGAAAATAGAAAGATAAATTACTTGTACTATATTTTTTAGGTTAGTAAATTAATTCTAAATTGAATATGAATGTATAGAAGTTAATTCTTATAAAGAAAAGTCGTCCATAGATAATTGCCACTATAGTCAATCAATTGAAAACTAGGTATAATCACAAAGAAAATATGGAGTAATTTAGCTTTAGTAAGACATTGACAAATACAAAATCAAATTCCTAATAAAGAATTTGGAATTATAAAAAAAAAAACAAAACAAAATGCCTTGAACAAAATCACACCACAATTTGTGTTGTACATTCTTGATTTTTTTTTTCATATGAAAAATATCTCATAATTCATATAAATATTTTTCAAATAGTGACATGTGACCAGCATCTAGACAAACAGCCAAACGCAAGTTCCTATCTTTAGAATTTGGACTTGGTATAATATAAATTGTCCCTTCATATAAAATGCAAGCTGGTCCCATATGAATTGGCCTACCCCATCCAAAATCACACTCATGGACAGGCAACCTAGTCCAACTATTAATATTGAGGTTAGGGCTAGCAAAGTAAGCCGGGCCCCGAATTAGGGTTGATAAATCAGGTTGTAATTCGAGGTAATCCAGTGCTGATCTTAGGTAATTGTCGTCCATTTTGATCAACTCGTTGTGAATTCTCTTGACGGAATTTGTCAACGGCTCTGATTGAAGTTCGCATGATTTAGCTATTGGGGTTGCCGTGAACACGACGTTTCCTAGGTAACCCGGTGGCAAGGGAGGGCAAAGCCTTGACCTTCCGTCGGTGGCCACGTGTAATTTGGTCAATTGATCCTCTGGCAATCCACGTGCCTTGCACGTGCATCGCCAAATATGGGCTGCGAGGATTTCATAGGTGCTACCCTCATTTTTGGACTTGGACTTAAGAAGCCCGAGTTGTTCACTCGAGAATTTCAACATGGTCGTGGTACTGGACTCGCGATTTTTCGATGAGTTTAGGGTAGGTGGAGGATGGTACTCAACGTGCTCGAAAGAAGATGTCGGTGGGTCCCTTGCACGGAGGAGCGTCCGATCGATGAACGGCGGGACTGCGACGGAGAGGCCACGGGCGATGTCCGACCACGTGTTGATGAAGTGGATGGATGAGAGACCATCGGATAACGTGTGGAATACTCCACCACCAAGAGCGACTCCGCCACACTTGAAACGAGTAATCTATAAATATTTTTTACACTATCAGTATATTAAATAAAAACTATATAGACATCAAAGTTGGAAGAGATCACTTACAAATTCACTTGCACTATCTAGAAGGAAATAAACAAATACTTCATTGACCAATATGCTAGGGAAGTGTGACTTGATCAACTTCAAATTTTATCTATTTATTATTAATGCATTCACATGCACAATTTCAGAAAAAAAGTATTTGGTTTTTTCAAAACAAGTATGGCCTACCCACTACACAAGTTGTTGTAAGAATTTATGAATATTATTTCATTCCTAAAACAATGATGTAACTTAGATTATTTCATCATATACTTAATCAAATAATGTTTTTTGTTCTTTTAAGCCAAAAAATAAAAATAAAAATAGGTAAAGCAATTGTTAAAAGAGTAAGATAAGCACTAATTTATGGTTTGTTAAATTTCTCCTTCTTTTAATATTTTGAAAAATTATTCATTCTAGAATTTATTTTTTCTCTTCCTATATTAATTACCGTATCTAACTATCAAATCATTTCTCTTGTTCTCCTAAATTAATGTGAAAATAATTAGGATATTTATACTCCAGTTTGATGTGACAATATAATTTTAAATATAATTAGATTATATTTTTTAAAAATTGAGTCAACTAAATTCGAAAAAAAAATAATATAACAACTAGTTTATGAATGAATAAAGTACTAGTTTGGTAGGTTTTTGTAAGACTAGAACCATCTTGATAAATTGATAGCTGTCAAGAATTAAATATTACTATTATTAGATCTAGCAACTCAGAATATAAAATACTCTTCAATTGAATTATAGTAATATTTTTTTATTTTTGGTAATTTCTCAAAATACTATGTCTTAAAATTTTAAGATCGAATTCGTTAAATTTAAATTTTGAATGGTATATGAAGGAGTCTAAGGAAAAAATAAATATTACAAAATACCTTGTACCACATATTTATACAAAATGTAAATAAAATATGGAAGAAAAAACTATACTTTTTATTAAATTTTGAATTTGTAATTCAAGTGGGTGATTTTTATTTTATTTTTAGAAAATAATGTGACTTAACTTGTCACCTAGCTTGTTATTTTAATTAGTCTATACTATAGTAGTAATCATATAGGTCACCTAGAAAATATTACTTAAAAAGTATGCTATTCTTAAATACTTTACTAAGTTCTCTTCTATTAAAATTCTACTAAACACTTAATTAGAGACATTAATTATGCAATTTTCATTCTTAATCATTTTTGTTATTTGCCCCTATCTTGATGTTAAAATAAATAACTTTTTTTCTTTGTTTGGTTAGTAGAAAATATCTAAATTTTCTTATTAGAAAAGACAAGGAACAAGAACAATAATACCAATTATTCTTTTTTTAAAAATTAGGCACATGTCATTTTTTCTACCCCTTTAGATTTTGATTTTTTTAAAAAAAAGATAAACCGACTTGCTTTAAAATTAAATTATTGATTATTCATTTTAAGTAAAATATACTATTCTTGATTTTTATATGAAATGCATTTTCTCCCCTTGATCATTTTATTTTTATTTCAAAAAATAATATAACTACAAATAGTGATAGATTTTAAATTAGATTAAACTCAATTTTCTACTACACCTCAATTGATTTAATCAATTAGAAATCAATTGAAAATTCTTATTTATAAACAAAAAAAATTACCTTATTATTCGAGATTCAAATTCAAGCTATTTAGTTCAGATAAATTATATCATACAACATCCATCCCTTCTACAAGTAGCTAAAAAATAAAATTAATAACCTAACAATCATAAACATGTAAAATAAAAAAAATACCAACCACATAAAAAGATCTTTGTACTACTATCAACACATACAAATATAATAGCATAAAAATTATTTTACCTTAAAAGAATCACTAGTATAATAACATGGAACATATATATATAATGAAGACAAAAAAAAACCAATCCTCTAATAAAATAACATATAGGTAAATAAACACTAAGAAAGAATCTTTATATTATCAACACATATAACAAATATAAATAAGAAAATTTTTATACTATCTATATATATATATAAATATATAAATAAAATATCGTAATACTGATAATGTAAAAATTCTTTTTTAC